TCGCAGAAAATAGGCTGGGCAAACTATAAACAAAAACGTGTGTCACTGTCTTACTCGTTTAAAATAACATCTCTTACTTTACTTTGGGCAAGAATTTCTTGCGTCGGATTTCGATTTGAAGCTTTGGCCGATGAGCAGGCGGTCTTATGATGCCATTATTTTTCTACCCAAGTAAAACAAAAAATATGTTTATTCAAATTTGTAGATTAACCGTGTGGCACGCACAAATTTGAGTGGTGTAAGAACAATAACACAACATTATTAACACAAATACAAGTTCTTCCTATGTGGGCTACGTGTGTGTAAATACATAAAGCACTTCACATAATTTACTAAATATTCGAGGATTATGTGCGGCTATTAAGGGCTAGATATTATTCTCCTCTAATTAAAAAGCGTTATTTCAAGCTTCAGATTAATTAAAATTGCCTCAAGCGCGGGAAGAACTTAAGGAGGTGCTAAATACAATTATCTCTTATTGTACTTCCTTGGGCTGTATAACTCCATTGTACTTGCCACGCTATATAACACATCCGGTTTTAATAACCTCCATTTGAAGTTTCTACATTATTTTTATAAAATAAGGGTGACAAACGAGCAGACAGTCCACTTCTGTTTTTTTTTATAAGATAAATTAACACCAGTTCTTAAAAATAAAAGATAAAAATCTCGATGCGATTGTTATATTATACAATCGTGTAGTGGCTGATATTCTTAATACTGGAAAAGAGTAGGGTAATTTTTTATTCATTATTGATTACAAATAGTTCTTATTGGAAGTAATTTTTTTACTTTACCACTAGTTCGAAAAAACTCCTCTATCCTGGAAAGAAACAGCAGGAAACCCGGCGGGCCTTTTTTTTTAAATACAATTCTACCACATACCCTACACCGCCCCGTTGATGTCGTAACAGGCGATAGAAGAAAACTGAACCAGGAAATAGGCAGTAGTATCTTTTTGATGACAGCTGAAAAAATTCTGCAGTTGCCAACCCGAATTTCAGGCGTGGCAACTATAGCAAGTATACCCCCTATAAAGTTGAAAAGTTAAATTAACAGCCTATATACGTTCCACTGCTTGACACAGGTCTCTTCTCATTTTAGAGAGTTTTGCAAGTTAGCAATGCAAGTTAGCAAACTTCACACTTCTTCGAAATATTTTTAAAAACCTGTGCCTTTTAAGGGTTAAACTGAACTAGATTTCGAAAGACTCTACTTCAGATACAAGTTTGATCTGGCACTCGACGAAGTGTTTCGAGAAGTATTAGCACAGCCGATGTATGAGGCAACGCCAGTGCTGGCGTCTGCATAACAATGAAGTAGTATCCAACATATCTTTGATATACAGAAAGAGCCGGGTAGGCGATAGCGCGCAACCTTTTAAAACACCAGAATTCACAGGCTTGGAGTCGGAACATGCACCGTTGCTACGACCTTAATATTCTAATCTGTAAAAAAAACTGGTAACCCAATTGCGTAATTTCTAGGGAAGCCCATAACAGAGAAGCTTCGAAAGAACTGCTTTCCTCCCAAATCTTTTTTTACGTGGTAGAGCCATGCTGCAGCTATATTAGTAGTATAGTTGTAGCACGAATGGGTCGGTTTGACTGGAGAAGGACCACGCTCTCACAGAATACCAGCGTAAAATAGCAGCTTAACACTGCTGTGTTTCTTATGGTGAGTGTAGAGAACCGGAGACCCTTTTTACTGCAAAAGAGGCATTCCATCTTAGACCTCACGGGTGACAACGCATCTGCATTTTGATTCGCAAACGAGGATAAATTTAGATGTCTATGGGCTACAGCAAGCACTTACCATCAGGTGGACTGTGTGCTCGTTTGTCACCCCATCCTATAAAAAAATCTGAATAAAGACCCTCGATGTTCAAATAATCGCCATGGCCTTCCACTTAGTATCGGCTGCCTCCACTCATCGTTGAGTCAGATAAACAAAAGGGACCAGCTAAGCAACCTCGACGAAAACCGTATTAAAGATCACTAATCAGCTGATACTCTTCAAGGAACTTCATGATCTGGTAGTTGACAATGGATTCCATTATTTTGGAGATGAAGGAAGTAATGGCGATAGGCCTGTAGTTGGACGGGTACGAGTGGTCACATTTTTTTAGGGATTATGTGCACTGTCTATCCAAGTCAAGCCTGTCCATGCGCTTGAAACGACGCCTAAAGAGTAAGAAAACCGAAAACGACGCATAAGTTCTGAAACAGCAGCAGCGATGAAACATTTGTCTTCTGCACAATTGGATGGATTCCATTAGGCCCATTCCACTTATAGGCGTGCAATGAGCATTCGGCGTGGTGCGCTTTGAAATCGCCAAAGGTGCGACACATCTTTTATTGCCAAATAATGAAGAAAACAATTGAGTATTTTAGTCAAAGAAAATGTTTATATGTAAATATATATTACTAGTAAATGAAGATTTTTCGGCTTTACTCGCCACTTCAAAAATGTTTGTTTACGGTATAAAGGTATGTCAACAGTCAACGTGTTTACAAACTACTAAACCTTTATTTCATTAATATAATATTAAATCAATAATACTGTAGTGGGCTTGTTAGAGGCAATAATGATGATTTAAATAAAAAAAAAAACATTTCTTCGAAATTGCCGGTAAATCGATTTGACAATATATATTTTGTGTAGTTTATTGATTTCTAAAGTACATTACTGATCACCTGAGGATATTCCCGTCTCATATTTCGCATTTCTCAGCGATCCGTTCCCAAGGCACTGGAATATTTGCTGATATTTACGACTGACAGATGACGTGACGGGTTCTGAAATTTATATTACAAGATTTTTATGAAGGAAGAATGAAATATGTATGTGGTCTGTCCCTTTTTATAGTTAAATTCTAAGTTGCAGCACGTATGGGTCGGTTTGACCCAGGAAGGACCATGCTCGCAGAGAATACTATCGTAAAGTAGCAGCTTAATGCTGCTGTGTTTCGTATGGTGAGTGTAGAGAATCGGAGACCCTTTTTACTGCAAATGATGCATTCCAGCTTAGCCCTAAAGGGTCACAACGCAAATAAATTTTAATTCTTAATCGAGGATAAATAGACAAGTGGATAGTGTGCTCGTGTGTCACCCTTATTATATAAATAAAAGATATAAAACAAATGATCAGTAAGCTGAGGCAATGGGCCTGCCATGTACCTCGCAGTACCGACAACCGATGGGGAAGAAAGATTCATTAGGGAACGCGTCGTACCAGTAAACGAAGCGTGGGTCACTCACTAGATGGAATGACGACCTAGTAAAGATGCTAAAATGCTATGCCATGCTAGTAAAAGATGGATTTTGATGAAATCAGGTGGCTCAGTCCCGTTTCATATGTATATCTTTAACATTACTTGCATATGGTAATAAGAAAGTACATACATTTTTATTAACATTACACCACTCATTATGCCGTCAGTCATGTTTTGTAATAAATAAACGTAAAAGGAGTTCAAGAGATTGTGTTATTACCACGATAGTAAACACGAAATGTGATATTATTTGAAAATAATTTTGTTTCTTGCTCGTAATTCTCAATGTTCTCTCTGTAACGTTCAAATAACAATTACGAGTATTTTATATCATCTCATGTATGCTCAGTCGATCCGAGACTCTGTGATATCAGTAATTCACGAACAAAGGGTTATGTCGTCTGTTGAACTCGATATTCGTATTCGTTTGCCTTCTCAGTGTTAACAATTTTGCATGTAGGTGTTATGTTCCTAATTATTATTATTATCTATACTTCTGTCCCTTTTTATAGTGATAACTAGCAGACCCGGCCACGCGTTGCTGTGGCTAAGGTTCTTGTTATATTACATTGTAGTAAACTATGAACTATGAAATTAAAGGTCTCCGTTTGAACGCTAATAAAACTAAGGTTCTGGTATTTGAAAGGGACGAAGAGAGAACGAAGTGTGAAATATGGGTAAATCAGGAATGTCTAGAACAAGTAAATGAAATTGTATACTTGGGGAGTGCTTTTAGCCGGGATGGAAGATGTGATTTAGATGTGGACAGGCGTGTCGCTGCCGGGAACTAAGTCAATGGTGCCCTGACTGCGTTAGTCAAAAGGCAAGGCGTAGTGAAGAGTGCACGCCTTGCAATACATAACGCAGTGTTGGTACCGACTTTGTTATATGGCAGCGAAACCTGGGTATGCCAGAAGAAGCATAAAAGCAAGTTGAATGCAGTGGAGATGCGATCTCTTCGTAAAATGTGCGGCGTTACCATGGCCGACCGAAAGCGAAACGAAGAGATTCGAATATGGCAGGTTTGAAAGATGACCTTATCACAAAAATTGATAAGGGCGTGCTTCGGTGGTTTGGGCACGTTGAGGGAATGAGTGAAGACCGAATGGTGAAGAAAATATATAGCGCGAAAGTTAATATTAAAAGGTGTCGAGGTAGACCGAGACTAACTTTCGAAGACCATGTGAGCAAATTGCTCGAAGAGGGTAGGGTCAAGAGTACTCGGATACCTAGACGTGCATGTATGAAGAAGGTAATGAATCTGAAAGAAGCGAAAGAGGTATGTAAGGATCGTGACACTTGGCGATATGTTCTCTCTGGCTACCCCGTCAGGGATTGTGCGTGAAGATAAGTAAGTAAAGTAAAGTAGTAAGCTATTCAAGGGGAACAGTAAGAGGACATCAGTCATGGAGGTCGCCATGTTTTTTTACAATTTCTACTACCCGTTAAAAAAGTTAAAGCTGGTATAAGAATCCACTGGATTGGGATTTGAAAGGGAAGGACTTTGAACACGATTTACTTTAGTAAGCAAAAATTAATACAAAATAATTTATTTTAAAATTTGTTATTTTTTTTATTCAAGTTTGTAACAAATGAGTATATTATAAAGTTGTTAGTAAATAACATGTGACACTTAAACTTATAAATGAGGTAGGTAGGGCAGATAGTTTTAAACCTTTAACAATAATATTTATTATTTAAAATTATAAATACTTTTAATTTCAATTTATTTTAGCACTAATTGGTGCACAATATTTTTGATTAATCCGACTTTAGCTAACACAAATAGATTCGACGATTTTCCTACACGTAAACATGCAACATATAGTTGCCCATGAGAAAAACATGGATTTTTTAAATCTACACCACAAATGGACATTGTTTGGCCTTGAGACTTATTTATAGTCATGGCAAAAGCTAAACGAACTGGAAACTGTAGCCTTCTGAAGGGTATCGTAGAATCTGACGGTATCATTGGAATACGTGGCAACAGGACCACTTCTCCTTTAAACTTTCCAGTTAAAATGGTTGCTTCAAGAATATTTCCGGTGATCTTTTTGATGAACAAACGCGTACCGTTGCATAATCGAGGTGGATTCAAATTACGCAGGAGAATAATAGGTGAACCAATCTTTAATCGAAGATTATGTGGTGGCATTCCAGGTATATCTAGTGAATTTAAAAATTCAGTTGGAAAATTTACACTTTAATATTCATTAAGAACAGTATCGATTGATTTAAAAGACATCATATCGCCTGGTAAAAATTGTTGTATCTGGAAGTTTATTTCGTCAAAATCAACATTTTTGGCTGCCAAAATAGCCCGCTCACTGAGCCAGGTAGGATTCAAGTAATTTCTTTGTATATTCGGAAAAATACTCTGAATCAATTCATTTTTTTCTTGAAGAACGGTACAAAAATTGTCTGGCAGTTTAATGCATTGCGTATTTGGTTGCAGTTCTGTTTTACCGTTCCCAATATCTAGTAATTGTTCGGAAAATATTTGTGCTAATGAATCATTTTGCAATCGCACGCGCATCTTTATGGTCAATCGAAGTGTTTAACACTTCGCCATAAGAATGAAGATGAAGGACCAATAGTTAAGATGAAATATTTATTGACATTTCATTTTAAATAAATGTGTGTATTATTTATTTAGTTTGATATTTAATAAATTAATTAATAATAATGTATAGATTATGTACCTTAAAAATTGTAATTTAATTTGATTTCATATTAATTAACAATTAAAATAGATCTTAATATGCTACGCCCGTACAGGGTTGTCACATGCTCTGTAGACATTTTGTAACAACTTTATACTTTGTGACATGCAATAAATGAATTATGAATTATGATTGTTTCAAACATGCATTAATCTCATCCGCGAAAGTAGAGCGAGGTATAACCGGTAAGGTCTGTCTAAAATCACTAGACCAAAGTAAGATAGCACCACCGAAAAGTTTATCCATGCATTGGGGCAGCGTGGCGGACATTGCCTTGCCCTAAAACCCTCTCAGAAATTAGAGGAGGCCTGTGCCCAGCATTGGTATGTATATAGGCTGTAACTTTACTTTACTTTACTTTTAATCGATTGTACAGGATATTATTATGTAGATGGGTACAGTACTAAAAAGTTCACTCTAATTCAGTTCCATTCATGTAGTGACAATTTTTATGACACCATGAAAAGTTGCTATTTTAAGGTTATTATTTTATTTTTATAGAAATACAATAGAATGCTGCTTAGCATTAATAAATATTCAAAAACATACATTATAATATAATGTATTTTATACTTTGTTTTATTTTTCACCCTCCACATCCACCACAACGCACTCGAAGCTAAAACTAAATGTCAGATTGGCGGTGTTATGTAAGTGTATGTCGTAATTTTATAATATTATATAATAATTGGGGAAAAAAGGTTCTTGAGTGGCGGCCTCGTACTGGCGGACTAAGTGTAGGGCGTCCCCCCACTAGATGGAGTATGATAAGATATGCAGGAAGTCGACGGATGCAGGTGGCGCAGGGGACCGTGCTTTGTGGCATTCCTTGGGTGAGGCCTATGTTCTGCTGTGGACTTGTGAAGGGATGTAATGATGTTGAATATGTAAGTATGACACAAAAATACAAGACACATAAAATACACACATATGCAATTTATATCATATATACATATTTATGTGTATAAATAGTTATAAACATAATGATTTCTTATATTTACGCGAACACTACACATTTAAATAAAACTAATTTTATGGATTTTATCGCGTATATTAACTTATTTTATATTCCCGACGATTTGGGCACTTTTCAGCACCCATGGTCACGGGGGGTATGGACTGAGGTGTATGACGTCCCAATGTCACAGTTAACCACGGCTACCTTCAGATTAACAATTATTAATTTTTGTTCCTGAACTTGTATCATGAAGTCTTGTAGTTGTATGCTTGGGTTGGGATTTAATTTTATTAATTATGGGATCCCAAGCAGATGATAGCACCCAGCCATCTTCTCTATTGAAATTAAGATGTTTTTTTGATTTCAATAGCCTCGCGAATCATCCTGGGGAGGAATCGGTGTTCTTTAGCGAGGATTTGTGGTCTATTAAATCTAATGTAGTGACGGGGGCGATCCTGTACGTGTTCACAGACTGCAGACTTCCCGGAACGTCGATCCTTCACATCAGCTATGTGTTTTTTAACGCGAGTTTTTATGGATCTTTTAGTTTGTCCTATATAAGAGAGACTAATCTTCTTCGGCGGCTTGAAGTATGTTTTAATGTAAGCACGCTTCAAGATGTAGCCAATCTTGTCAGTGATACCTCTGACATATGGCAGTACAGCAGGCACTCGCTCGACTGTGGCCGGCTTCACTCGTTCACTGTGACGTAGGCGCGGGACCCGAAGCTTATTGTCGTGCAAAACTTGCTTGACGTGTTGGAGCTCGGCGGCCAGGTGTTTACTGTCACAGATTTCTCGTGCTCTCTGAAACAAAGATTTACCCACGGTAGCTAACTGTGAAGGATGGTGGTGAGAATCACCGTTTAAATTACTATCTGTATGGGTCTTTTTTCTATACACAGTGTGGCTCAAGGTGTTATCAGGATTCCGAATTACTAACACATCTACGTATAGATAAGCTAATTAATTATTTGCCTCTAACTCAATAGTGAACTGAATTTTAGAATTTAAGGAGTTAAGATGGTCTAAAAATGCAGTTACTTTATCTAAAGGTAGAATTGTGAAAGTGTCGTCTACGTACCGCTTGTAGAATCTTGGGTTTACAGGAGAAGTAAGCAGGGCTTTCTCCTCTAAGTCCTCCATAAATATATCGGCGACAATGGGAGATACAGGTGAGCCCATCGCCACTCCATCTACTTGCTTGTAAAACTCCTCCTTCCACAATAGGTAGCCAGATGTAAGGCAGTGTCTGAGTAATACTGCATATTTTTGCGGCCATGTTGTTTTCCTCTAGTCTTCTAGTAACAATCGAGATGCAGTCCTCAACAGGTAAGCATGTGAACAGAGACTGCACATCAAAACTGACCATAGTTTCATTGTCTGCCAGATGTAGGTCTTTAATCTCGCTGACAAAATGGTAGGAATCCTTTGTGTGTGCTCTTGTATGTCCCCTGAGCGGTGAGAGTAAATTCGCTAAGTGTTGAGCCAATCTGTAAGTTGGTGAATCGATTTGGCTTACTATGGGACGTAGTGGAGCATTGGGCTTGTGTATTTTTGGTAACCCATACAACTTCGGTGGTTTTGCACACGTGGGTATTATCGATTTTACGTCTAGATTTAATTTTTCGGAGTGTTTCTTTATGAGATCACTAGTTGTTTTAAGTGTGTTATTTGTTGGGTCATTATTAACCTTTTTATACGTACTTACATCCGACAAAAGTTTTTGTATTTTAGAATTATAATCCGACGTATCCATAACTACCGTGGCATTTCCCTTATCTGCGCGGAGAATCGTGATTTCTGGTTTATTTCGTAGATTATTCAACGCTTTAAATTCATCTTTGGGTAGATTCGGTTTTGGCGCTGAACTTCGACGTAACATAGACGAAATGTCTTGCCATATCGCTTTCATATCTTCCTTTTGGATATTGTTTTTAAATAAACAGTCCCTAAATAAACAATTAGAGTATTACCGAAAGGCCTTAATTTTGCTTTAACACCGAAAAAATTACCGTACGTGGAAATTATAAAAAAGGGACAAAAAGGGAAAAATTATAAAAAGGATTCAGATACTTAATATGTGTTTTACTTGCCTATCTAGGTGATATCAAATCATTCAAGCTCAACCGATATCAAATTTTTCTGATAACTATTTATTGCTATACAACATCCGTTATTGATATTTGTTTTTATGTAAGTAAATATTGAATAATGTGAGAAGATTAAGAGCATTTAAATTAAAAAATAAAACTATGAAAAACTCAAGTCAATTGGATCAATAAATTATTTTAAGCTATTTTTATCATAAAAAGCAACAGGCACATTTTCAATTGATTTTAAGTGGGTGCTGTGGCTCATGCCAGAATCTGTCTTCCATTAAGAATCAGAACCAAAGTATAATACTCAGATCTCCTTAGTATATGAGGCCCATGTTCCACTCTTTTCCTCTGGTGAAGTAGCGTAGTTGTTGTTACCGCCCGGGGCTGCCAAAGGCAAAAATCCCGCCTATCACTTCACGCTCCTTTACCTCATTATCACAAAGTACCAGCAATTTTTACATTTTTGAGATTTAACTGTCATTATTAAAACATTTTTTGATGTTTGTTCTTGTGCAATTTATGTTTGTAAACTGCCTCCACGACACAGGAGAAAATCCTAGTGTAGGGTGGACTTTTTTTTTTAAAAATAAAAAAAATTTAAGGGTTTGACTTTTTAGAAAATGCTGGCTTCAATAATCTACCACCAAGATTGATCATGGCTCCTTCGAGTGCTTATGGGCTGATATTCTTAGCAATGAAATAATGAATGAAAAAAAAATTAAAATTTAAATTTTGTTAACTTATTTTATGTCTCCGAAGTTTCGTCGATAAAAGATGGATGATGGATGCTCTTACAGTCGCACCGTCACTACACGGCAAGGTTATCATGTAGTTTATAATTACTGTAAAAAATATAGCATTGAACGACACGAGCAAACGGTGGACCCAGCCGTCCGTGGATGTGCCCATGGGGTGCCTCGTGTTGCTCGATAATGGATAGAATTCAAATAAATGCCACTTCAATCTATAAATGCTTTAATGGCATTTTATTTCTATCACAGAAAATTTGCTTCAGCTTGACAAGAAACAAAACACTATATGTTTCAAAAAGATTCACAAACGTACCTACTTAATATTATGGATAACTTGTAATTATAGTAATGTAATTTAGCGTAGCGGTAACGCCAGATTTTTTGCTAAATTATTTAAATTATGGTTGTTTTTATCACGCGTCTGCTTTGATATTTATGGTTGTAATCCTTACATTAAAAACTTAGGCTCTTTTTAAAAGGTCTTGGCTGCTATAACTTTAAAACTGCTTATTTAATAAATCTTATTTTACAAACGTTTATATTAGGAATATTTTATGAAACCTTATTTTACAATCTTTTCGAATAAAGTACGTGATTCGGGGCGACAGAAGGCCAGTCTCTGTCAAGGGCAAACTCTTGCAAACTAATTTTCACAGATATAAATGCAAACAAGCAGTTTTACTGTAACTCAATCAAAAATTGAGGTAAAAGTTTTATGAAGTAGATTTGAATTTATCAAGCCGAGTAAAGCCAGATCTAGTCTAAAAACATCGATGTTGTAATCGATTGTTTTACATAATTACAACACACTGTAGAGCACATTGCTACGATATAGAGATTCGTAATTCCTTTATTTTACGCACGTCCCTAGGAGTAGGGTTCAGCGAAAATAATCCCACTAGAATGTAAATATTATGGAAAGTTTCAGCAGCAACAGCGGCTGTTTCACGCTGGTATTATTCGAGAGCGTGTTCCTACCCCGCTCGAGCCAACCTATTCGTG